TTTTTTTTTTTGAGACGGAGTCGTCTGGTCGCCCATGCCTGGAGTGCAGTGGCCGGATCTCAGCTCACTGCAAGCTCCACTCCCGGGTTTCACCGCCATTTCTGGCTCAGGCCTCCCGAGTAAGCTGGGACTACAGGGCGCCCCCCACCATCGTCCCGGTCTAGTTTTTTGTATTTTTTTAGTAGAGACGGGGTTTCACCGTTGTTAGCCAGGCATTGGGTCTCGATCTCCTGACTCACTGGTGATCACCTGCCTCTCGCGCCTTCCCAAGTGCTGGGGATTACAGGCGTGAGCACCGCGCACCGGGCGCTGACTGCTCTTTCTTTCCTCAATCCCTGCCCGTAAAAAAAAAAAAAGAAAACCACAAAGACTGCAGAACGGCATAAAACGGTGAACTGGGACCTGGCACACAAAGCAGGTGGCTGCCCACACTTACGAAGACGTCTTGCTGTCCCGGGACCACTTTTTGATCTGTGAGAGCTTGTTGATAAGGAAGATGCCCTTTCCCTGGGCCTTGCCACAAGGCTTCATGATCCAGGTGCTGGACGGGCTCTTCCGGAACTCCTCTACAAACAGGTTGTAGTCAGCAGGCAGCATATAGGTGACAGGAACAAAGTCTACAAAGCAAAGACACCCAGCGCTGGTAAGCGGCCAGCCCAGCAGTGGCCATGAACAGAAAGATCTTGCCCCTGCCTTTCCAGGGTCTATGGGTTTAGTGCCCCCCGCCACAACCCAGCAGCTAACAGAACAAGGGCCTCTGCTGCACAATCCCTGGGCAACACTCAGAAGTTACATTTCCAGAGCCTACCTAAGCACCTGAGAAACCTGTATTTTTCAATCCCCACGGCTACCTGGGAGCTCCTGTAAATAAACCCTGTAATGATTCCCATTTAGCAGATGAGGAAACTGACACCCAGGGAGGTCAGTTAGAGAATTCTGCCCAGGTTTGTGAAGGAATCTGAAACTATTCAGTCCAGCTTTTATCCTGGACTGGACAGGGGCACACTGTCTTTCCTGGGTATAGGCAGACATAGTCATGAGCCCTCATGGCAGCCTGTGGCTCAAGAAGTGTTTCCCCGGGCTGAGTACTGAGGGCATCCTCTGGCTTACACAAAGTCCATGCCGGCTGGGCATGGTGGCTCATGCCTCTAATCCCAGCATTTTGGGAGGCCGAGGTGGGTGGATCACAAGGTCAGGAGTTCGAGACCAGCCTGGCCAATATGGTGAAATACCGTCTCTACTAAAAATACAAAAAGAAATTAGCCGGGCATGGTGGCGGGCACCTGGAGTCACAGCTACTTGGGAGGCTGAAGCAGGAGAATTGCTTGAACCCGGAAGGCGAAGGTTGCAGTGAGCTGAGATCACGCCACTGCACTCCAGCCTGGGCGACAGAGTGAGACTTCGTCTCAAAGAAAGAAAAGAAAAAAAAGTCCATGCCAGGCAATTCCCAAAGCACTCAAAGAAACTAGGATCCCAAATTCAGGCCCCTCCTGCTCCCTCATTCTGGAGACACCTGAAATGAAACAGGTGCCACCACAACTCGCGTGGACATACTCATGCATCAAAGCCAACAGTCACCACCTCAGTGCCTCGCGCCCCAAAGAAACGATTCAGCTGTTTACTGAAAACATGAGCCAGTGGAAAAGGCACAAACCCAGATAGAGGTATTTTCCATTTTCATCCCCTTCTTTCTCCAGCTCCTTCCTGTATCTTTTGATGTTCTTCACCATCAGGTCCTTCCGGGTCAGTTCATAGTGGTTTGGAAAATGGTTGACTATTTGGTCATCTGAGAGCCGATATCCAGTTTCGACGCTGAACACATTTCGGATGGTTTGCACACTCATCCTGAAAGAGATGAGCAGGACAGATGCTGGGCAGTGACGTCTGTGTGGCAGGAGCCCTTGTTCCCATCCCCGCAAACACCCTGAACCCTCAGCACCCTTCCCCACTACTCCCACATCCCCCGGCACCTGAGCCAGGGGCTGCCCGGCCCATAGCAGCACAGAACAGGTGCCCAGGGACAGGCCAGGACCCAAGCTGTGTGAGGGCCAGGAGCTGTGCTGATTCTGTACCCTGAGCTGTTCCCCTCTCTGGCCCAGAGCAGCACAGAACAGGTGCCTGGGGACAGGCCAGGACCCAAGCTGTGTGAGGGCCAGGAGCTGTGCTGATTCTGTACCCTGAGCTGTTCCCCTCTCTGGCCCAGAGCAGGGGCTCAATAGATGTTTACTGATTAGTGATAACACGGATTAATGATAACACTGTCAACAAATATACCCTTTTCAGACTCTGAAGTCAGGAAACTCATTTAAACAGGATCTGTACCCAAATTCAGGAAGGTCAAGGACCCTTTCAAAACAAAATCACAGGGGTTGGTTACGGGCCCTGAGTCAGTACTCGATATTCTTGGAGAGTCTGCTGAAGGGGCAAGGTTGGGACAACAGAGTTGAAAGAGAAATGGATTCCTTCCAAGCCTCTGAGAATGCCATGGTCTCCTGCCACACGCCTGTCCTCACCACACCCGCTGAGAAGCAGGGAAGGGGTATGGAGGAAGAGCTGGCCCCGCCCAGAGCCAGAGTCACAAAACATGGCAAGTGGCCCCAGCCTCTTGCACTGTGGTCCCTGTGCCTCCAGCCTACCCCCACCCCACAGCACCACCCTGGAGAAGGTGCCCAGAGCCCCCAAAGGGTTGCTGTGGATTCCAGGATGGCTAGAATAAAGGGAATCTTTTTTGACTTTTTATTATGGAAAACCTCCACCACACTCAGAAGGAGAGAGAAAGCATTGAGGGGACCCCCAGTGCCCCATTCCCCAGTTAATGGCACGTGGCCAATCCCGTTTAGTCTGAACCTCCACCTCACTCAGCACTGGCATGTTCTGAACCAACTCCCAGACATCATATTAGTTCATCCAAAGCATTTCTGTAAGATTCTCTAATGGTTTAAGACTCCATGTTCTATTATGTGATATCCTAATTTATATAAGTATCACAACTAAAAAAGTATGTATGTATGTATTTATATATTTTTGAGACAGGGTCTCGCTCTGTTGCCCAGGCCAGGGTGTCATGACTTGATCTTGGTATGCTGCAACCTCTGCCTCCCAGGCTCAAGCAATCCTCCTACCTCAGCCTCCCAAGTAGCTGGTACTACAGGAAGGGGCCACCGTGTCCGCTAAATTTTTATAGGTTTTTTTTTAGAGACGGGGTTCTGTCACGTTGCCCAGGCTGGTCTCAAACTCCTGGACTCAAGTGATCCTCCCGCCTCAGCCTCCCAAAGTGCTGCAATTACAGGCATGAGCCACTGTGCTTGGCAACGGCAGGAATACTTCTATAGGGAAAAGCTTCCCTTCATCAACAATCTAGATGCCTCAAGAAGAGTTCATACACAAAACACAGAATCAGTGCTTGATTCCTTCCCTTTATTTATCAGTTTTTCAAAGTAAAGAGCTGGCCAGGCGCAGTGGTTCACATCTGTAATCCAACACTTTTGCTTTATTTTGGTTTTGTTTGTTTTTTGAGATGGAGTCTTACTCTGTTGCCCAGGCTGGAGTGCAATGGCACGATCTTGGCTCACTGCAACCTCTGCCTCGTAGGTTCGAGCCATTCTCCTGCCTCAGCCTCCTGAGCAGCTGGGACTACAGGCATGCACCACCACATCCAGCTAATTTTTGTATTTTTAGTAGAGATGGGGTTTTGCCATGTTGGCCAGGCTGGTCTCGAACTCCCGACCTCAGGTGATCTGCCTGCCTTGGCTTCCCACAGTGCTAGGATTACAGGCATGAGCCACCACATGCCGGCCTATAATCCAGCACATTGGAAGGCTGAGAATTGGGCAGTGTTCAGTTGAGCAATTTTTTTTTTTTTTTTTTTTTTGAGGACCGAGTCTCACGTCTGTATTCAGGCTGGAGTGGCGGTAGCGCGATCTCAGCTAACTGCAAGGCTCCGCCTGCCGGGCTTCCACGGCCAGCCACTCTCCTGCCCTCAGCCTCTCCGAGTAGCTGGGACACAGGCCGCCCGGCACACCACGGCTGGCTAATTTTTGTTATATTTATGTAGAGATGGGGTCTTCCACCTGTGTTAGCCAGGATGGTCTCATCTCTGACCTCGTGATCCGCCTGCCCTTGGCCCCCAAAGTGCTGGGATTACAGGCTTGAGCCACCGCGCCGGCCTCAGCTGAGCAATTCTACTCCTCTTTGTGGTACTGACTGAGGTCATTCAGAAGTTTAGAGCCAGTCGATGGGATAAGCTGGCGGTCCCAGAAGGTTTTCTTCACGTCTGGCACCTTGACTGGCCTAGCTGGAGGCTGGAAGGTGGGCACAGCTGCACTGCCATGTAAAAAACCTACCTGTGACTGCTGTGGCACAAGGGCTTGAGGATGGCACCGTCTCACAGGACAGCTCAGGGCACTTGCATGTTTCCAATAGAGGAACTGGCCTGGGCCCAGGCATGTGTGATTTTTACTATATTCCACTGGTCAATGTGGTCAAAGAGTCTTTCACGAGGAAAGGCCAAAGACCTCAACTTTAGAGTGAAGCAATGGCAAGAACTTTGTAGCCACCTTTATTTTCTCTCTCTCTTTCTCTCTTTTAGAGACAGGGTCTCGCTGTGTTGCCCAGGCTGGAGTGCAGTGGCACAGTCAACGCTCACTGGAGTCTTGACCTCCTGGGCTCAAGCAAGCCTCCCACCTCAGCCTCACAAGTAGCTGGGGCTACAGGCACGAACCACTACACCTGGATAATGTTCGTATTTGTTTGTAGAGATGAGGTTTCACCATTTGCACAGGCTGGTGTCAAACTCCTGGGCTCAAGAGACCTGTCCGCCTCTACCTCCCAAAAGGCTGGGATTACAGGCATGAGCCACTGCACCCAGGCATCCCACCACCCAGCTCATTTTTTTTTGAGACAGGGTCTCAGTATATTGCCCAGGCTGGTCTCAAACTCCTCCCAAAATGCTGGGATTACAGGCATGAGCCACTGTGCCCAAGAGTTCGATGCCCTGGCCTATGGCCATCTTTAACCCGCCACAAATTGGGTATGTGGCTTTTGGGGTATTTTTCTGTTTGTAGTTGTATGAATTTACAGTTTCAAACACATATGATAAGTTCCAATCCATTGCAATTCTTTTGTTTTTTTTTTTTTTTTTGAGTCAGAGTCTTGCTCTGTCACCTAGGCTGGAATGCAGTGGTGTGATCTCGGCTCACTGCAACCTCCACCTCCCAGGTTCAAGCAATTCTCCCTGCCTCAGCCTCCCAAGTAGCTGGGATTACAGGCGCCTGCCACCGAGCCCAGCTAATTTTTGTATTTTTAGGAGAGACAGGGTTTTACCATGTTGGCCATGGTTGGCCAGGCTGGTCTCGAACTCCTGACCTCAGGTGATCCACCTACCTGGGCATCCCAAAGTGCTGAGATTACAGGCGTGAGCCACTGCGCCCAGTCTATTTATTTATTTATTTATTTAATTTTTAATTTTTTTTTTCTTTGAGACGGAGTCTCGCTCTGTCGCCCGGGCTGGAGTGCAGTGGCCGGATCTCAGCTCACTGCAAGCTCCGCCTCCCTGGTTTATGCCATTCTCCCGCCTCAGCCTCCCGAGTAGCTGGGACTACAGGCACCCGCCACCTCACCTGGCTAGTTTTTTGTATTTTTTTTTTTTTTTAGTAGAGACGGGGTTTCACCGTGTTAGCCAGGATGGTCTCTATCTCCTAACCTTGTGATCCGCCCATCTCGGCCTCCCAAAGTGCTGGGATTACAGGCTTGAGCCACCACGCCCAGCCTATTTTATTTTATTTTTTGAGATACAGTCTCACTCTGTCACCAAGGCCGGAGTGCAATGTGATTTCAGCTCACCACAACCTCTGCCTCCCAGGTTCAGGCCATAAGCTTGCCTCAGCCTCCTAGGTAGCTAGGGTTATAGGCACATGCCACCACACCCAGCTAATTTTTGCATTTTTGTAGTGATGGGGTTTCACCAAGTTGGCTAGGCTGGTCTCCAACTCCTGACCTCAGGTGATGCACCCGCCTCAGCCTCCCAAAGTGCTGGGATTACAGGCATGAGCCACTGTGCCCGGCCCATCACGGCTGTACCATAATCCAGTCAAAGTACTTACTCCCTCCCACACTGTTTAACATTTAGTTGTTTCCAGTATTTTACCCTAACCAATTTTTCTGTAAACCTGATAGTACACTTAGTGCTTAGAACAGAAGCTCTTCTTTTTTATTTTTATTTTTTGCTTCCTATTGTATGGTTGACACGTGGCTCTCCTTAATCCACGCTTTGGGGCCGAGAGGGAGCTCTTTAGTCCAGGGTCAGACACCTGCAACCAGCAAGACCCTGTCTCCTAGTACAAAGAAAAACAAATGCGGCCAGCACAGTGGCTTAGCCTGTAACCCAGTACCTTGCCGGATGCTCTGATGGGCGGGGATCATCCAAGCGGGAGTTCAAGACAGCTGCCAATGGGAACCCCGGTCTCTACTAAAATACAAAAATTACCGGTCGGTGTGCCTGAATCCCAGTCTTGGGAGCCGAGGCGGGAATCACTCTGCACCAGGAGGCGAGAACTCAGTGATGAGGCACATTGCACTCCAGCTGGGTGATCGAGCGGATCTGTCCTGCCTCTGGCCAACTTATGATCTCACGAGGGAGGGGCTGAGCTTTTTCTCACCAAACAACTCCCACAGGTGCTCGAGCTGATACCCCAAACGTCATACAGGGAACAAGTGACTGGGAACACACCACAACACATTGCTCTCCAACCAAAGGCCCCGCCCTAAGGAAAAATGGTGGGAGACAGCATGCCGCAAGGGAGACACCAGCTTGGGGCACTCCGCGGACGGGGGGATTATAACCGATTATGTAAT